CGTCCTCCTCTGCTAAAGTGCCTCTTGCCAGTCACCCAGGGGGATTTATTTTTAATTCATCCCCCCTTTTTATTTTCTTGTGGATAGCAGCGCCCGGGAAAGAGGAGACAGAGAAAAGAGAGACTCAGCGGAGCGAGAGCAGCCGCCGGCGGTTTGGTGCTGGGAGCTGCCTCTGTAAATACACGGTTCCTTCCCTATAATTAGCAGCGTTCCCTGCCCTATCCCAAACCCGCCGCGGGATTTGGGATGGCAGCCGGAGCCTCAGCGGATCAAACCCCCTCTTTGAGCACAATGTGATGGGACTGGCTCCCAAAAATGCCTCTGTGGTCCCTTGGCTGAGGACTGACCCTGGTGCCCAACTCGTCACATGTGTGGGGAGCCAGAAACCACACGAAGATGGGAAAAAAATTAACTCACTGGGTTAATTTGTCCCTAAACTTGGGGTTTGTTGTCTCCTCAGTGATTTATTTTGCTTTTAAAATCCTTCGGGTTAAGGCAATTTGTTGCCTCGGGAGGGATTGGGGGGGGTTGGGGCTGGGTGTGCAGGAAGGGAGGAGGGGAGCGAAGGGGGATTTAAGGGATGGGACCCACTGGGACATACCTGTCATCAGGTAATTAGAGGGGTAATTAACTAATGGAGGATTAGTTAGGGGGTGGGAACACTAGGGGAGGAGGCTTGTGCGGCTCGAAGCACTGGGGGTTGTGGGTTGAGCAGGGAGAGGGGCCCTGGACAAATGGTTCTGGGGGTGTGCAGATGTCACTGTGCACGTGTGAAATGCCATGGGGCACGTGCAAATGTCTCCATGCACATGTGTACAGTGCCTGGCACATGCAGATGTCACTGTGCTAGTGCAAAGGGTTCCTTGGATGTGCAAATGTCCCTGTGCACGTGCCCAGTGCCTTGCAAGGGTAAATGTCACTATACTTGTGCAAATGGTCCCATGCATGTGCCAGTCTGTGCATCTGTGAAATGCCACAATGCATGTGTGGAAGTCACTGTGCAGGTGCATACATTGCCTTGCACTGTGCTTGTGCAAGTCACTGTGCAC